GCTTCGTTTAGACAATGAGCTGTTATCACTGTAAACAATGTTAAATTATTCTTCACATGCTCAGTTTATTTTTTGAGAACAATTATTTAAAAATAAAATCTCTCAGTCAATCAGAAACTCGGATTCACGCCTTCAGGGAAAGTCACGTTTGGACGCTCATGTCGATTTTGTTTTTCGTTTGGCGGGCTGATGCCTTCAGTGTAGCTTTTGCCTCTTCCGACATAGAAATCATCTGAATCTTCTTTCTACCTCTCTTTCTTTTCACACCACGCATAATGTAATGATAAAAATTAGGAAAAAACGCCGAGGAAATATAATGTTTGGTTTGCTAGCGAGCGATAACTGATTCGAGAATAATTGCACATGCGCGTGAATTGAATGAACTATGACCCGTACAATCTCGATATGCATATTGTCAATCAAAGGTCCTGTTATTTGCTTACTCATGCAAATTAGGCAATTGGACATAAACATTGCCACGTGTGAGTGTTTTTTATTTTTAACCAGAAAATAAACAGCAATTTTAATGGTGTTCCAATAAGAATTCATTGGTCAAATTTTCACAGAATGTTCTTTAGATAAAAATCTATATAAAAAACTTTTTTTGATTGAAATTCACAAATAAACTGCATCTCTACCTTAAGGGTATTTTTATGTAAAAAGTTTATTTTTGCTCAAAAAATTAGGGTTAAAATTTTGTTTTTTCTCGGCATTGCATTGATCAATACATTCAAACTTTACATGTATAAGTAGATAATACACAATACATGGACACAATTTAACTATTTGTCTTTAAAAAAAATGGGGTGAAAAAAATGTTTTTATTGTAATTGGCAATGTCTTGACCAATTCCATTGAAACTTCACATATAGATAATACACAATACATTACATGTGTTGATAGAGGCAATTTCACAATCAAAGTCTATTCAGTATTTACCGGTACTCTTGATGTTTTTGATGGCTATTTTACACCCTTAAGCATCCCATAGAGTTCTGAAGAAATTGTAGGGAGAAACGTTCTCATCAAGTTAGCAGAACACATCAGTAGTGTTGATGTGTACTCATTCAGTGTATATATTTATTAATCCACATGCCACTGGGATTGTCTGATTTACTAACATTGTCTATTGCCCAAACCATACTCGCACGCAGATCCAAAGACAAAATTTATGTGCATTTGTATGTTTTAATGCTATTTTTGTGGGGAATGGCTTATGCCATACTAAACAAATGTCTCCAAAGTAGTATACATTTTTTGCATTTTGTTCTATTCATTTTCGTATTGCGGTTGTCTTCCTAGGGGTCTGGAGGTACTGATGACATATTGTCAGGGTAACATGCTTTACTGTTTATATACTAACTTGTTATCATTTGTTGATTTAGGGATCTGTCATACAACAAACTCAATTCCACAGATGCATTTGATTTATCCAAAATGCCTGCCCTAGATAAACTGTAAGTAACAACTTTGTTATTATTTTATTATTTCTTAATTTAAACTGTAGCCGAAAGATTTTCTGTTCAATGATTGCTATTTTGATGTGAGTAGGATTGACTCTTATTTTTGTTTTTATTCACATACTTCAAATTACATAAGGCTCTACAGAATTACAAGAGTACATCATGCCCACATGACTCTTTAAAACATTCCTTCTTTTCAATTTGTAGGCAAGATTTTTGCTTAAATCTTACAAGCCCAACTAGTAAACTAACATCAAAATTGTATTCTATAAATATTCCTGATTGCATATGACAGAAAAATAAAAATACAAGATGAATTGTAATTATCAAAAAAAGTTATCAATCAAAACATTTTTTTTAGTCGCTACACACACAATTAGTATTACCCATATGCGGTTTATGGTTAATTTATGAATATTTAAAGAACATTTATAAACTGACATCACTGGAGCAAATAAATATTATTTTGAAATGATCTTAGCCTTGTGCAATCACATATAGAGGGCAGTACAATAGAGGACCCTAATAGTGAGTCACACCCCTTCGTTTGAACTTCTGAATTTCTAAATATTTAAATTCTGAAATGAGTATAATATTTGGTTGAGATGAAAATGTTTTTATGAGCTGTTGTTATAGATGTAGTGGTACTGCTTATATAATATCTCTTTTGTTCTTTTTCACAGCCTCATGTCAAGCAACATGCTAACTAATTTGGGAGAACTTGGCTTGTCACCAACCAATCTCACTTATCTGTGAGTATAATAAGTAAAGAGTTCAGTATAAATAGTTATTATTGAGCATTCCATAAGTGTTTTTTCGTACTACCTTAACCCAAATACAATGTCTTGATGATGATGACTTCATTATGACGCATTATTATACAATCCAAGACAAAATAGTGTATTACAGGTATACAAAGTCCTTGTGACATGTGTAATACAACAAGTTGTCCATACAGTTTTACACACATGCATCATATATCTTGAAAAACGTATGCATGTCCATTTGTTTGAAGATAACTGCATGGCAGCCATTATGCATCAAAATCATCAAAATCTAACATTTCTGACATTCTGGAACTGGATCTTGTTGAGTATGAATGGACTTTGTTCAAACTTGCTACATACATTGAACATTAAGACAATAAACTGCAACTCAGTACAATTTAACAACTTGATGGAAATATATTCTTTGTGTTGTATCGTGTGTAACTATCTTTAACTTTATATTTCAGTGAGTTGGCAAACAATAAAATCACCACTCTAGGAAAGCTACAAGGTTTACACAACCTCAAGACATTGTAAGTATCTAAACACATTTTGTTGACCTAACCTGTTTCAAACTGACCTGATCTGACTCTGTGGTCTCGTTATCATTTTCAATTTATTCGGCTTTACTGATACTAGGCCATTAAATTTCTGTGACAAAATTATGTGAATTAGCTATTTGGTATTTTCTTATTCATCATATTTAACTCTCAGTTGCTTTTCAAAATTACTGCTGAATGCTGATACACTAACATACATCAAATGTTTTTTTAATTGTGACTTTGTGTAATTGGTATACTGTATGATAAATACCATTGTTTCTCTATTAGAAGTGCATCTGGATGTATTATTTATTGGATCATTAAAATACTTATTTTGACTCTAAACACACCTCTGAGTTTTACATAGATGTGTATGATTCTGATACTAATGGAGAATATGGTAGTGAGCTTTACCACATTGCTGATTGTTGACATGTTGTTTCTGATCTTTTCTGCGCTCTCTCAAGTGTTCTATTTTACCATCTGAGGGCGTGCTGCAAATACATCATTCACATGATTCGAACTGTTTAGAGTTGGAATCAGTGGAAATGGAATAAACTTTTTTCTTTTTACACAGAACAGTCATTGATTATTTGTTCAATTATTATTAGAAAACTAAATAATTGACAAGATTATATTTTGCCAGATTTGTTTAATTCATTCATCTCCAAAATTTCAACTGGGTGCAGAAATGTACATTTTTTGGTCACATGACAATAACCTGTAATGATCTCTTTAATATCGCTATAGAGGGATGGATTATAACAAAATGGAGGTGCTATTAGCTAATGCCTTTCAGGGCATGTGGTCTTTGACAGATTTGTAAGTATTTTTCTCAATACACCTTCTTTGTTTTAAATCACCATTATGAATATACTCTTCAACCATTTCTTAGAGTTATACAACTACATGTGTACACACAAGTTTCAAGTTTTCATCAATTTGATTTAAAAATTTAGCAATGGCATAGTGTGAAACCAGTGTGACAGTCAGAATAATGGCAGCATCAGACCAATGTGGCTGTAAAACAGAGCACTAGGTTGTACTAATTACCACCTGGGGACAAATCTAAGCGGGAATACTTGACATGGGGATGAAAGGCAGAAATCCTTGTACTATTGGTTTATGCCTAAAATTCATCACTTATTCCCTCTCGGTTCTGTCCCTGAAAGAATTGTGTGGGGTACCACTACCCTGCGTATATCCCAGAGAGAATACTGCCAAATATGGGCTGTGTCACGCTGTATTAAACCTAGTTAGTGCTATGTGATACCATATATGGGCAGTGAAAAGCTTTTGCATATCTTTGCATTTAGTATACATCAAATAATGCCACACATTATTTATCATCACAGATGCAGATTAAGTTATGAGGTGAAAATGTCTGTCCTTGTTGTCGTCACTTTTATACAATTTATGTTACTGTAAAATAACATATTTTTGCTTGGAATTAATTTTCGCTGAAGGAATTATTCAGTGAAAATAAAATCCAGCAAATATCTCTTTTTTCCTATATTTTACATTCAACTTGTCAAAAATCAGTGAAAATAAATTCCATACAAAACACCCAAAAAGTCTTTTCATACTTTTACAGTATGTTATTCTATAAGGGACATTGAGATTAATACAGTACATGTACATGTAGTATTAATTGAGGAACATGATTATCAACTAATTTTTTATGTATTGACTTTATTAGTCCCCGTTTGGACGTAGTCCGAAAACAGGGACTTATGGTTTGCCCTGTGTGCGTCCGTGTGTCTGTGCATCTGTGCGTTCGTGATCACCTGTATCTCGAACACGCATGGATCGATTAAGTTCAAACTTCACTCATACATCACACATTATATGGGACATATGCACATGCATTTTTTTCATGATCCGGTTAACGATAGCCGAATATCGGCCATTTTAAGGACCCGGATCTCAGTTATGCATGGACGGATTTTGTTCAGATTTGGTACATACATTAAACATAATGCACGTTATTTTTTATTTTTTTGGGTCTGGTTTGAAATGGCCGACTGGTGGCCATTTTGTTTTAAAAAATTCAGTTCTGGATCCGTATCTGAGACATGCCTGGATTGATGGAGTTCAAACTTCACACACACAAGGTACATCATGTCACAAATATGTATGTGCATTTATTTCATGATCTCATTAACGATAGCCAAATGGCGGCCACTTTAAGGCCGAAAATGAATTGAAATCGCACATTTTCACCATTCTGGACCCGGATCTCAGTTGTGCATGGACGGATTTTGTTCAAATTTGGTACTTACATTAAACATAATAGGACCTTGATGCACGTCATTTTTTGTTTCGGATCAAGTTCGAAATGGCCGACTGGCGGCCATTTTGTTTTAAAGAATTCAGTTCTGGATCCGTATCTGAGACATGTCTGGATTGATCAAGTTCAAACTTCACACACACATGGTACATCATGTCGCAAATAGATATGTGCATTTGTTTCATGATCTCATTAACGATAGCCAAATAGCTGAATGATGGCCATTTTAAGGCCGAAAATGCATCAAAATCACGTATTTTCACAATTCCGGAACCGGATCTCAGTCATGCATGGATGGATTTTGTTCAGATTTAGTACAATGTGTTGTACATATGCAGGTGCATTTCAGATCAGACCTGAGATTTCGGTCATGATCTGCTTTGAATGTATATGTCACTCAAATATGAACGGAACAGGGACGTGTCATTGACAATGACTTGTTTTTTTTCATTTGTTCATTTTTGGTCAGATTATTGCGCACCTAATTTTTAGCTTCCATGACACTATTGGTTACAAATGCATTCAACTGACATGCACACAGAGAATGGGCTCATCATGTCACCAAACATATATCTTGTATACCCATATGAATTCTGGGATATATATAACATTCCTATCTTTATTCCAAATTGTAGAAAATTGAACGACAATGACATCAGAGAGATAGTGAACAATGCTTTTGATGGCCTTGGCAGTGTGATGAATCTGTAAGTATACAAGCCCCAATCTTTTTTTTGGGTTGCAGATTTGGAAACTTTTATGCAATTTGTTATATTTATAGAATAACCATTGCCAGAGACAAGTATACCACAAGATTTTGACAAGTTTCAGAACATACCAGTATACTAAGTTGAGTTAGTGAGTTTGTATATAAAATGAACTATGCAAAATTAAGTGGTATACTTGCCTCTGGGTTGGTTGTTCATATTATACCAACTTCATTTTAAAGGTAATTCTGAGACACCAAAATAACTTTATACCACCATAAACCCTGTTCAAATATGATACAACATCTGAAACATAGTAGTTGCATAGTTAAATGAAATGGACCCAGGAACTACCATATACCGATATACATTTCAGAATGAGATACATCAAGTGGTGGCACAAATTCACACCTGTATTTCGGTGTAATTTCTTGTTAGCAACACTGTTGGTATGTGTTGTGTTTAGAAGATCAGCAACACTTCTGGATTCACCGCAACTACAGGTGGAAATCTTTGTTTTTGAAATTATTTGCCTAATTAAAAAAAAAACAATATTTTTCTTATGCTTCTCTTTTGAATCCAAAATGCCAGAAAATTGCATTTTTCGTTTCTTTTTCTACATCCTTAGTGTGAAATCATATTTTTGCAGATTTCACTTGGTACAATAATTCACCCATACCGTGTGCTGTGTGTTATTCATGTTTGGGGCCTACTTCTGAACATGGAGAAACATAGTATATTATCTATTTAATCACTGCTTACATAATTAAAACACGCTCTCAACCAATTAGAATAGTGTATTTCAGGCATTTGAAATGATCTTGAGGACCTTGAAATTAATACAGTACATGTAGTTTTAAAAAAATAAAGTGTATAAATACATATCCCAGCATTTATTAGTCACTGTTCGGATGCAGTCTATTCAAGGAAAAAGATAATTCAACTGCATTAAAAGTTAACATAATAGATATCCTGGAACCTATAGCAATACAAGTATGTGTATGAGAGAATAATGCTAATAATTTACTGTGCGATTAGAATTGAAAAAACAAGCTGTAACTCGTATGTACATTGACCAGTTATCTTCCACCTTATCAGTTGACAGGTTGCTTGATATTATTCTTACCTTTTTCTTTCCATACTACTCTAGAAGCCTCAGTCATAACAAGTTGAAGCAAATAGATGAGCGAAAGTTAGCCGGGCTAAATCAAATTCAACAGTTGCACTTAAATGATAATCTACTAGAAAGTATCCAACTGAATCAACCAATTCCATCTTTAAAATACATGTAAGTTATTTATGTTAAATCAAAAGCTGATAATAAGGATGAAAGTTTTTTTTATAATATAAGGAGACTGGATATCAACGCCTTCTAGTGCTGAAAAACTATTGTTACTTTGTTTCTAACTGAGTTATTGTTCCTGTTGCAGTGATGTAACTGGTAACAATCTTACATGTAATGACAATTTACTGTGGGTATGGGATTGGAAACAAAGTACAAATCATGAAATCGTTGGTGAATGTCACATGCCTGGACAGAGGTCGATTAAAAGTCTCACAGATGTCACAGAAGAGGAATTTCTGGGCAAAATTGAAGATAAAGATGATGATGATGGTGAGTTGGATTTATCTTTTACCATGTGTCATAGTATAGTACCCTCTAACTATGTGTGTATTGGTACAGTACCCTCTAACTACGTGTTTAAGGTAGCAGGATAGCAGATTTGCATGAAAAATGTAAACACCTATAATCGGAATAAATTTTACAAGAAACCATACAATCTATATATGTTTGGAAAGCTCTTGACTTGTACTTTTCTATTATTAATATTTTGTGAACATTGTGTATGTTTTAGCGTCACGTGATTCTGAAAATCAGCGGGGCTGATAATTTAACTAATGTGAATAACATTTTAATTGTCATCTCTACAGTCATTCATGCGATCAAAAACTTTACACTGTTTTGAAGCAAAGGTCATGAAGTTTAAATCCGTATTTCTATTTTTTGCATTAAGTATTTTTTTCCTTTACGAAAATCACAAATTTCAAGCACGTTTTTTGGTGTTAAAGTTTGTGTATAATGATGGTTTGTGCGAGGTTTGTGAAAAAACGCAATAGAATTTTGCAAAAATGTAAATACGGATATGAAGCCAACATATCCAAGAGTAAGAAAAACCAAACGGCGACATCGTAGCGCTACTCACTGAAACGCTATTTAAAATTAGGTCAACAGTAATTGTCAGAAACCGAACACCGAGAAATCAACACTTCAAACTTCAATCAACGTTAACTCCCGTTTTAGCAGCAAAATTTACATGGGCTAATTGTAAATGAAATACTTTGATAGTTGTTTTTGAGAAAATTCATGAACCGACATTTGTATCTGTGAAAAACTTTGCTTTTTGGCCGTTTTCTTTCATGCTATGGAGTTTTGTGACGGTCTGTTCTGATAACGAGCGGTGACGTCATTCATTAAAGCTTGGATTATGCAAAGTGGGCGGTTTTGTTTGTGAGTAACAAACAATACAGACACTACACTTGGCAGTTGAAGTGTTTGCAAATACAGTGTATTTATTTTTGGGCCGTTGTGTTTGTAAACTTATTAGTTCAAGCATGCCACAAGTTTCGAAGTCTCCTGGAGGCAGAAGAACACCTTCCGACACCAACTTGCGCGGCATACGATAGCAAATGAAATGGCGGCTGTGGGGTAATCGCTCGCATTCTAATGGCAGCCTTTCTATTTATTTCGAAAACTGCTCTCTTCTTTCGGGATGACGGGAAGCTAGGCGGACTCAGTTTCAATCGCCTTGCGTGCAAAGGATTTCAAGCTGACTGCCCAGACCGTGACGCCTGCGCTCCACTATTGAGATATTGCCTACTCGGTTTTGCCTACTTTGCAAAATTGACAAATCGCTTTTTCTAGGGCGCCATTCAACAGTGCCATGTCAACGAGTCGAATCTCTCCGCCTTCAAACGATCGGTCGTGACATTCACTCTCGTTTTCTTCTTCTACGTCGGAAGGTAACAACATTTTCCTGCGAGATACAGACATCTCTCGAACGTTTTGAACAGGAGTATCACCCACTATATCGAAGTCTGATTCATGGTAAAACTTTCTTCGTCCACTTCATGGCTGACACTGGTTTCGACGGGGAAATCCGTTCTGTACGAACCCAGCATCGTCTCTTTCAACATCTTTTTGACAGGAGTGATCATTCTTTTGACGTTTTTCTTCTTTCTTCCTTGCTTTCTTTTTTTTGGGGAAATTTTCGCGTGCTTACTATCTCGTTCATAATTAGTGAATGACAACTAAACTAAACTAAAGAATACTGATGACCCTCTCCTTCTTTGCCTATTTTGCACATTAATGAAGGAAGCTGCCCTGCTTTTTAATTGGTGTGAATGAAATAATTGTAAAATGTGATCCAGTGGTGTATGCCGGCATGTAGCATTTCCTGTGCTATTAAAGCGAACCTAAATGCGGCCTTAATTTATAGTTGTGTATATTCTAAACTGTATTCGAAATAATATTGCAGTGGTTTAATTTTGTTTTAATTATAATTGTAGCTTGGATAGGCATTTGAAGTGCTTGCAATCATACACCATGGAGGCCATTCATGGAGGGGAATAAATAACGAACGAACATATTTAACATCCGGGTACTTTTCAAAGCTATGATGTTTTAGTATCTGATCACATTCGTATACGCCATTGTACATAGCCGTTCGTGCTGCCAAGCATTGTGTACTACCAGTATAAACTCAACTTTTATATGCACAATGTGCTTTTTAAAACTTGGGTTAGAGCCTTATGCGTTTGAACCACAGTATTCTGAGAGTGAAAGCCCAATTGCGTTAAAGTACCGTACTTCCCCGATCGTAAGTCCCTCTCGAGTATGAAGCCCATCCCTATATTTTTACTTGGTATTTATGGAGTTGAGAGCATTCACGATTATAATATGCGTGTAAAAGGTGTGTTTCAATTCATATTAATCGTGAATGGCATGGTAGTTTGTTTCATGCTTTTAGTTTTATGAGAAAACTCGCATTAATTTCAGAGTGCGTGGCACGGTACGAGGTTTTACCCAGAAATCTGGCATCGTTCTGCGCAAAAACCGTTTTTAGCGCTTGAGTTGTTTCCGGGTTAGCCTTCCATGTGCTTATCGTGCGATTTATTGTACCAATATCACATTTTCTGGACGTATTCCTACACAATCATGCTAAGAGTATCCAAAAGAGTCGAGCAGGCAAGTTTAGCCGCAAAATTACGTGGGAAATTGGCTTCAATTGCTCACTCGATCGCCGATGTTGTCCGTCGGCACACAAGGTCGTTCGCTTTCTGATCTTTCTTCCGAGATTTTGACTCGAATATTCGGGTTTTGTTGCTTTTTTAATGACAGTGATGACTATAGTTCACAGTTCGAGAAAGTTAAAACGATGTGCTCACTTCGAATGGTTTGTAGGCGATTTTATGCTATCGCGTCGAATGATTTGTTCGTTATGGGAATGACGGCAAGCTCTATTGCCAGCCGTGCTTTTCACAGATTTAAGCTGATGAAGGCGAGATCGCTCGTTGCTAATGAAATAGGGTAACTTTACGATTTGATCATTCAAAAAGGGCCATCTCAAGTAAGACAAGTGGTGAGAAATTTGCTGGAAAATTTAAAGGGTCACGAATGG